CTCCTCAGTCCCTCAGCCGCTCTGTCCCGCCGCGCACGCCACCGCTCCCAGCCCCGGAAGTGAACGCGGCCCCGCTCCCCAGCGCGCCTGCGCGCCCCACTCGCGCCGATTGGGTGACCCGCGTGCCGCGCATGCGCGCGGCTGGAGTGGGCGGGGCCCGCTGGGGGACGGGCAGGGGTTGGGGTGCGAAGGGACCGTGGGGACCCTGCAGTGCCACCCCTGCCGTGGCACCGACACCTCCCGCTGTCACACGCTACTCCCAGCCCCAATGCCCAGCCTGGCCTGGGACACTGCCAGGGATCCAGGGGCAGCCACAGCTGCTCTGGGCACCCTGTGCCAGGGCCTGCCCACCCTCACAAGCAAAGCAGCTCCTAATATCTGATCTAAATTCAATGTGTATCTGTTCCCCCTTGCCCCGTCACTCAATTCCCAATGAACAGTCCTCTTCTGTAACCACTTCATTAGTGGTTCAATATGAAACATACAAGGAATTGATTTTTCCTATGTCCCGCCATGTATGAAATCGCCACTGGCCCCTGTTCACTTGGGAAAAGCTGACTATGAACAGCAGCACCAATGTTCTCACAGAAAGATGACCAAGGAAGAGAGGTCTCCTTTTGAAGTAATTTTCTCCTTCGGGAACTTACAACCTGGTTTCCTCAGCTTTTAAATCTTGTTTTCTTTGTTTAAAAATATAGATTTTTAGAAAAAAACACCACTTTGTAGTCATCATTTAAGTCCCAGAGACTTTTCAGGTCTTTGTAATCAGAGAGGTCCAAACTCTACTGCTGTTTAACTAAGGAACTTTAATTTGTCCCAACCTACCAGGCTGAATCACCACGTGCTGTGTATGTGCACTACCCCAGGAGAACGCACACATTTCACCCTCGCTTCCAAAATTAACGGCACTGTAACCCTGACAGTAACTGGTGATGATAACAGATACACAAGTGCCAGCTCAGTTGTCTCCAGCACAGCTGCAGAGTGCCAGTCTGGAACTTCTCCCTGCAGGGACAGACATCACTGCCACAGCCTGCACAGCCCTTGGGACTGGAAAGGAAAACCTTTAGTGACAATTCAAACTCAAGCCCAGCCCAGCACACCACCCCTGCCCCTAACTGCAGACTGCACAGCATCTACCAGAGCTTGAGCACAGCCAGCAGCTCGGGGGCACTCCAGGCAAACCCAATCTTCACACCAGGACACCCCTCCTCCAGTCCTGCCTTCGGGTGAAGCACTGGCCAACCAAGAGCTCCTGCACACCAAGACTATTGAGTGGATGTGAAGACCCAGTGTTTGCCAGCTCCTTTCTCAGCTGGCCACGGACCCCCAGTGAACCAATAAAACACAACCCCCAAAGCACAAGGGTAAATGCAGATGCTTTCAGTTCTTAGTGTCACTGTGAAAGCTCAAATACCACTGGACAGAACCGACCTACTCAAGAGTTTTGAACTCCCTGCACCTCCAGCAGCCTCCTCCTTTAATGGCTGAACTGCATCAGCACAGATGTCATCAGCCCAGCACCCAGACCCCACCCCCATAAACATGTGCAGACAGGATTTTAACATGAGACAGTACAAAAGAAAAGGCCAAGCTGAACCTCCACATACCCCTTTTAATATGTTGTTTTGCACTGTGTACAGGAAAACCAAAAATAAACAAAAGGAACTTTAGCCAAACTCCCCTTCCTCCTCCAGCTTTATTGATAGTTTAAAATTACATTTTCTATGTTCTAGGACTTCAATTGCTCTTACCATCTTACTTTAAAAACCGATTACAAGCAAATGAAACTCAGTTGTCTAAGTGATATAGTATACAAAAATAACATCTTGATTTCTGTGAAAATGCATTTATTTGCAACTCCTGAATAGCTCCAAATTGTTTATGCTATGAGCACTGATGTCTGGGTTTCAGATTGACTTTGAGATATTTATTCAAAAGCTTCCCATTGCGTTCTGTATCTCCAACATTAACATTCACTGACTGAATTACTGTTACTTTTAGATTTATTTCAGATTTCTCTCTCTCTCTCTCTCATGGCCATTAACAGGCATGTGCATCTTGTTTGTTTACTCCCACTCAGCTATATGCTCTAGGTAGGGCCTGATGCAGATATCACTTGGTGTTAACAGCTACTGAGGTCAGACAATCCAAGGCCATTGTAATAAAATAAAAGTTATGAGGAAGTTTAGACACTTCCAGAATTTCTTTCCTCCTGCATAGGATCACTTCCCTGTAACCCAGAGAGGGTTTTTGCTGGTCTGACTCAACTCTTCCCACTCATCAATCCCTATTCACCAGTGGCACGGAAAGGGGGTTCTTTAACAAAGCATTATACATAACACCTCTACCAAACTAAACATAAACATTTTTGTAGTTAAATGCAGAAAGTTGATTTTTCCACCCCTTTCCTCCTTTAACACGGCAAGTAAAGCTCACTGGCCTGGGAGTAGCCTCTATCTGCCAACCTTTGGCCAGTGAAGAGGATTCAGAGAAAAATAATACAACCATCAATCAGAAAAAGGAGGGGCGACAAAGGAAAATAATTAGGCTGTAGCTTCAATTGTGCATTCCCGTGCAAGGTGCCCTGACTCGCCGCAGCGGTAGCAGTTGACTTCGCTGGTCTTGCTGCAGTTGATGGCTACATGGCCAGTTTCACCACACCTGCAAAAGCAAAGCTTGTGTCAGAACAGCCACAACACTCACAGCAGCAATTCTACTCTGTCCAGGACACTGTCTACTTCAGTTTTGTGCAACCCTAGTTCTGCATTCAAGGTTTCTGTTCCAGAATTCTCTGATGTGAAGCAAGTTTGTCTTCAGCAGAGCCATGAACTGCTCCCAAATGATCAACTCACATAAAGCAATGGATATGCCAGAATCACGGGATGTCACCTTTGTGTGTTTGCAGGGCCTTTTCCAAATTGTGTCTGGGGTTTTGCCTGTTCCCAATGTTTATGGCTTGCAGTTTAGCCTTGTTTTGAGAATAATTAGTTTTAACTCAAACAAACCATGTTCTCTCTCCTTCCTCCACAGAAGGGAATGTTGGTGGGGGTAAATACTGCTCTCAGGAACGTGCTGTTTCTGGTATATGCCTGCATTCCAAAACCAGACAACACTCTGAAGATGGCATTTCAAACCAAATTAACACCCACTTCTATTCACTGTTCCCATAACCAAAGCATCTTCAGTGTGCTCCTGCAGGGGCTGGCTGTGCCAGTCAGCTGGGCTGTACAGCTGGGGTTTGTTAGCTCTGGCACAAGGCACAGGGTACCCAGCTCTGTGCTACAGCCAAGTACCTCCTGCTACCTTCTTCAAAAGGACACGACCCTTTCTCTAGAGCTCAAAGGATTGAACACCTGGTTTGGGTGGCCCTCTAGAGATACACCATGGAATTTGTACTCCACCCTGCTAGTAAGTGTTTAAGCCTTAGTTTTGAACAACAGTGGGTAAGCGTTCAAACAAACTGTATTTCCTAATCAAAACCAGACAGAGAATGCACCCAGCACGAGGTGCATCTGGCAGCTGCCTCCTGCCAGTCCTTACCTATAGCATTTCACTTTGGTGCAGTCTTTTTGAATGTGCCCAAACTCTCCACAAGAATAGCACTTCTGCTCGTCTGCGTGGTCGCAGTCGCGGGCCAGGTGGCCGGGCTTGCCACAGTTGTAGCAGCACTGCTCCCTCTCCCTCTTGGGCTCCTTGCAGTCCTTCGCAATGTGGCCACCTCTACCGCAGTTATAGCAGGCTTCCACAATAAGAAAAACATACCAAACAAGACTATAAAACCTTGGTAGTGTGAGGGGCAGCATGCTGTCAACAGGGCACACGCATAGCTTGTTCCCAGGGAACCCCAGCACCCTCTCTTCAGCCACAGAGCTCTGCCTGTGGCACTGAGGAGATGGAATATTTAGTGATACTTACCATCCTCCTGAAGGTCACAGTCCTTGGCAAGATGGCCAGACTCACCACAGCGGTAACAGATATCCGGCAGAGACGAAGACATGAACTGGAAGCCTGCTTGAAATGGGTAAAAGAAAAAAACAGGCATAACTATTGAATTCAGAATACTTTTAATAATCAATCACTAACTGAATTTACAAGTTGGCTTCACTCTTAGAGCCCCTGGCCAAACTCAGGTAGAGGTGAATTTCCCTGGTTCTTATCACCAATTTGAGTCTCAGCTTCTTCACTCGGGCCTGCCAGAGCCTGTTTTACTCACTACACACAGCAGCCAGCTGGTGGTGTGCTGTCCAAACAAACAGAAGAGCACAGCCACCACTCACCTCTGCCACGGCTCCTCATCCCACGGCCACGGCCCATCCCAGTGGGGCACTCCCGGGCCCAGTGGCCAGTACGGCCACACTTGAAGCACTCGTTGCTGCTCATGGCTGCAGATCACCTGTCTGAACAAAAAAGACATTTCTGAGCACTTTCTGCTCCCCCAGCCAAAGGCTACATTAAAATGAGAGAGTCTCCCAGCCTCTCAGCAACGGCAATGGAAACCACAAAGGGCTTCCAGTTAAGTCAATACTTTCTTGTACAGTGCCTGATCATGACCACACAAACCACTGCAGGGGATAAAAGTTTGCCTCCACTTTGCTTTGAACAGACAGTGTGCCATGTAACTTTCCCTCTAATTATTTTGTAGCCACTCTTTACTTCAAGAACTTACAAATGTTCAGGCAGAGGGAAAAAGAGAGGGAAATCCCTTTAATTATTGTAGTAGCAGCCTTAATGCCATTATCCCTTTCAGTAAAGCACCTCCTTCCTTACTGCTGAGAGTTAAACTCAAAAGCCAGTTACTTAATCTCTACAAGTTATTTCCGCCTTGTAGTCGTTACATTTTCTCTTGAATGATCTGCCTGGCAGCTACTACCTCTGCTGACTGAAGTGTAAGAAGACGTTCTATGTATTAAACCTGAAGCACTGAAAAGCCCTTTAGCTTAACATTTGAAGACTTTAGGTCTTTTATGATCTGAACAGCAGTTTAACTCTGAAAAGCAAAACTATACTTTGTAATTAACCTATAGCTCAGGATGCATATTCCATCCAGGTACACATGAAAGAAATGATTTAATATGTTAAGAAAGCAGACACTTGCCAACTACATCGAAGGCTAACTGGGAAAAACATCCTTAGAATGCTCTGGAAGCATAAGAATGTCCAACTGCACAATCCCTGCTTTGCCCATACTGGGAAGGCAGGTCAGTCCTGCATGAGCAGAGCCAGCCTGCACAGTCACCACTCTGTGCTCACACTGCCACACCCCCCGAGCTGCAGCACACTCACACAACACTTCCAGAACCAGAGAGAGAAGAATGAGAAAGTTACACAATTAAACTGCAGTCTTTTTTAAAGCGTGCCTGAAGACAAGTTTAAAGTACACCGGTCTAAAAATATGCATGTCAAGCTTTGTTTTGATCAAGTCTCCTGATATTTAATTACCTCACATACTCTCTCCCAATTTGTTATTCTCTACCCAACAGAAGTAGAATCATTATCTGGCATGTTTGGCAGTTTACCTGATCCCCCCTTCAAGGTAATCCTCCTGTAACCCTGCAGTTTATTCGTGTCACAGAATGATTCCCCTCCTCCCAGACCTCCAGCATCCCAGATTACAGGAACATCCCACAAGTTGAGTCTTGAAGAAAGCCACTACAGGAGCAGTAGAACACATGACCTCCAGAAGGAACCAGAATTAGCATCCTGACATTTAGCTCTTAAATACAGAATGTGCATCTAAAAGTGAATTGTTATTTAGGAATTTGTAAAGTGCCTTAACGTTTCATAAATTTACTGTGGCTTTTTATCCACTCCTCCCTCAAAACAGTTCTTTTCTCTTCTGCACAGAAGTGGTTATTCCAACCACAGGAGATGGCTGAGAATTTAAAATACAAGAGGTACATACTCTAGCGCGTTAGCTCTGTAACCTCACAGCTAACTTCCAGCGGGACCAGATGATGGTTTTTGCCCTCAAAAATGAGGTTCTGGAGTGAACAGCTGCAACAAGACTTTAGACACAGCTAAACAAAATTAAAACAACTGGTGGTTGGAGCACTTAAAGAGATTGACTTGATTTCATGTAACTGGGTCGGTCTTCTCTGCTTCCTTTCAGTGTTCAAGATTTCTTCTGAGGACACCAGGGCTGAGCAGTGCTTGCTCTGCTGGCAGCAGCTGGCACTCACTGTGCCATTGTTTATGCCTGTGTTCATAGCAACCGCGTTGACACTGCAAAACAGGAAAAACACAGGCACAGCCAACTGCAGGAGCTGGGCTCAGGCACCAGAGTGGATGCTGCTTTTCGTTTGCAAGATGGGGTCTCTGAATTTTAAATATGTATATATGCTTCAGATACACAGTGGGGGAGCTTTTATACAAAGATTAATGGCAATCTACAGCAAGTCTGTCCTTCTGCCAGTCTGGGTCAGGAGCTGCACGAGGGACAAAAGCTCACTCCTCACTGCCCCAAAGGAATGTCAAAAAAGAAGTTTTAAATCTGATTCAGAGTTCTTTCCTTTTTAACTGCCCTTCAAAAGGAAAACCTCTGTATAGCAGAGGAAGTTTCTCTTCCTCTGCTATACAAAGTGGTAAAGATTACACAAACTGAAGCAGAAATCTAAAGTCAAACACCAATCTCTGTGCAAGGATCCTTCTAGACTGAGATTAATTTAAAAACTTCTATCTTCAGAGGCCCCTGTTCCCCTACCAAGCTCAAAGCAGTGGAAGGTTACAGCTGCCATACAAACGTGATCACAAAGCATGCTGCTCCATCCTCAGATACCTTAAACACATCCAAACAGAGTTTGCCTGAAGCTTCTTTTTCTCTTCACCAGTATTTCCACGTTAAACTTCTGCATCCTTCCCGTAAAGGATCTGGAACTGCAAAGGGTGGCTACAGCTGCCAGTGGTTTTACTTGCCTACATCCTAACAAAGGACAGAATTTCCCAGCAGTGTGAACTGTAAGGATTCAGTTTTCAGAGAAAGCAAACAGCCACCTTCAAGAAGCAACATCCAGAAAAGGCTGGTTCAGAAGACAAGTCCTTAAATGGAGAGTCTCCAAGCACTCTGGACACCATTACAGTTTTCAGTTACTTGCAAGAGAAAAAAATGAGCACAGTAAAAACCACCCGAGTTCAAACACTGCTCTGTTAGTCAATACTCCTCCATTTTGTCATCACAGGCAAGTTTCCAGCAGTTCCTTTTATCTATCAAGGCCACCTTAAGTAAGCCTTCTGCAAGAAAGCTACCTAAGTCTTCTTGGACAGTTTTCAGTCACAGCTATCAGTGTTTTCCACAGCTCAGATGTGTTACACAAAGCAGCCTGTCCTGTCTGTCCATGTGTCATCGTCCCTTCCCTCTCTACATACCAGAAACACAATTTTACCTCACCAGGGCAGGAAAAGTAGTAATGGAAAACAAATTACAACTATGGCCTCATCTAGCATTTCTGAGACAAGTCAAATTCTGCAAGATACAGCAAACTACTGCCTCCTGGATTAGCTCCCAAACTTGTCCAGAAACTCAAGTTTAGTTGTGCTTTTTCACCTCAAACCTTACCTTTCTAGAGAAGGAAGAAGGCAGTCATTTACCTAAATGCTCCTACAGACCTCTGTAACTGCAGCTGGAAGCTGAAACAATTTAAAAATGAATTTTAGACCTTGTTCTGTGTGATGGCCATACTGCTGAACAGCAGGGACTGATGACAGAGATCCCTGTGCCACCACAGCACTTTCCTAGGTCACATGTGAAGTTTCTGAGTGCAACTTGAGCACCAAACTTCAAAGAGGGAGTTTCTTGGTGATTCTCTTAGTTGTAGGAGACACCTCTGACACAAGAAGTTTCCTGTCTCATACTCTGAAGGGGAAGACTGTGTCTTTGTGGCTTTGCAGTTAAAATATATTCAAGACTCTTAGAACAAGAGAGGCGCTATTAATCTTCAGCCTTCATGCATAAGATTCAGCAATATTCAGATCTGTTTTAGTAGCCCTTCTAGACCTGATGATATAAAAACTGCCACAAAGCTCCACTGTAACACTGCTCATTTTACACGGCTTTTAGCCTAGATGCCCTCCAAAGAAGCAGCTGTTTTAACAACTAATGTGGGCTCCACATAGTAAAAAGGAAGCTGAACTTCACCTCTGAGATTACTCAGGATTCTTCTGGATAGCGGCAGGTCCTTAGGATCCAACAGCCCAACAGAACAGGGGCAAGTCTCTTCACTTCAGTGCTTCTTCTGACCTACAAACAGCACTTGCAGCCGATATAAACCAGGACTTCACTCCTTCAATCCAAGGACAGAACAAATAAAAGCCTCTGCTTAAGGCAGCACAGCAAAGCCCTTCAGCAAGGCAGCTCCACCAGAGGCAGGCGTTGGGAAAAAACCTTCCCATGCTGCTGTGACCAACCCACAGCACCACACCTGAATTGGACAAGCCAGAGCTGAGCATGATGAAACCCCCAACGTGACAGGAAGTACAGCTCTGCTGTCCTCTGGAGCACTCAAGAGGCAGAAAATGGCTAATCATAATCTAGCATTTAGTTTCAAAAGAGAAGTCAAAGCATTACTCATTTTACAAGACATACCATCTGTGGGGGGGTTTTTATTTCCCAAGCAACATGTTGTAAGAATTCTTGAACACAGGATACATGACTATCACCAAAGCCACCCAGTATTTAGCAGGTAATTTCCACATTGTAACCTGAAAACCTGCTACAGCACATTAGTGATACTCCTGTCTCTTCTGTTCTCACTAGAACAAGATAAAAACTTAACCATTCTGACCAGCAGGTAACAATACTCCAATTCTGAAGGAAATCAGTCCGAAAATTCAAGGAAACCTGCCAAAGTGAAAAGGCAATCCCTACTCTCCATTTGGGACCTCTCAATACATTTCACAGCCAAGCTGACCCAGGACTGCTGAACATTAACTAAGACTCAAGAGGGGACAGAAACCAGGACAAAAGGACATGATGACTCCACTTCGACAAGTAATTCTTGGATATCTCTGTTGACACAAACAAGAAAGAGAACAAAAGTTCATCGAGGAGTGACTCACTAGTACTTTCTGCCTATCCATACTACTTAATATAGAAAGGAATAAACGCTATTGAAAATGTGCACATTTGACCATCTTCCCCTTTAATTTTAATGTCTGTCTGTATGAAATTTTAAACTTAAACACCACGAATAACATGTGAGGCTTTAAACATAGCATTCAGCTCAGGCATTAAAAAAGGTAGTTTAAATGGCAGGTTAAACCTGTAACTCTCAGGACTGTCGCGAATCACACAAATAATGAACTTATTTAAGCTCTTCACTTTGAGGACGGATGCAGGATTGCTTTTCTAGGCAAGTCTGTACTGAAGAAAGAAACACGGACTAGGTAACCCTAAAGCTGCGTGGCAGTGGGATCACATGGAGTGCACACAGGAAATCAGAACTCACTATTAGGTTTAATAAGCCGCTGTGACAATGCTGGCTCTTAAATGACTAACAGCGGTTACTTGAGAACTACACCCGACAGGAACTCAAATAAAAGGCCGCCCCACAGCCCGCGATCTGCAGATGGCACAGGCTATTTTTCCTATCCATTTATAGGTCACATTTGGATTTAGAGCAGGCCACTATCCGTGCCTGTGGTCGGAGCAAGCAGTTGCGACACCTCGACCCTCTCGTCTCCGGCAGCGCCCCACACGTGGGGAACCACGTGGTGACCGGGCTGCAGCCCCGCTCGGCCCCGCCGACGGGAGTTCAGCGGGGACGAAAAATTAAATTAAAAAAAAGAAAAAAAGAACAATTTAATGAAGAAAAAATTAACTTCCAGTCCGTTCTCCGCAGTCTCCAGGCTCACAGGACATTCTTTACCCCAAACTCGCTGGCTCACGGGAGGGTCGGCCGGGCTCCCCCTCCCCACGCCCAGGCGGCCACGTGCAGCGCTGCCCCGACCCCACCGCCCGGGCCTAAGAGACAGAGAGTGAGGCCCCTGCGGGCCGCGCCCGGGCGCAGCGGAGCGGCTCTCCCCTCGCCCAGCGCCCCGGCCTCCCTCCCCCGAGCGGCGCAGGCTCCCTGGGCGCTCCCGGAACCCAGACCTGACTCACCCGCCGCCGCCCGCCACCCTCTCCAGGCCTGCGGCCCTCACGGCTCTAGCGGCCCCCGTGGCCTCCCCGGCGCGCCACAGGGCCGGGAATGGCGCCCGCGCCCGCCCGGCCGTACTTTCCCGCGCGCTAGGCCGGAGTGCGCCAGCGCCATCACCGTCCCGCGTAGCGCCCTCGCTGCCACCTCGGGGCCCCGCAGGACTCCCGGCCGCTCCCCTGCGGTTCCCTCGCGACCTCCCGGCGGTACCTGCGGTCCGGTTCCCCGCGGCCGCGGCCCCCGCACGACTCAGCTCCGCTCGCTCGCTCGGCCCCGCCGGTCCCGCTGCCTGCGCCACACGCGGTGTGCACACGGCCCGACGGCTCACCCCGCCCCACCGCTGTGCGCACGGCTCACCGGAGCCCGCCTCGGCCAATGGGGGCAGAGCGCCGCGGCGGGCGGGCCAATGGGAGCGGCGGACGGGGACACCCAACCGCGGCGGCCTGAGAGTGGGCGGGGCGCGCCTCCCGCGCGCTGGCCGGGGGCGGGCGGGGTGGCCATGGCGGCGCTGGGTTCGCGCTGTTTCGCCGTGACTCACCGCTGCCCGCGCCGTGCACAGTGGAGCCCGGGCACGGCGCAGCCCCGGCAGCGGCGGCGCGTTTCTGCACGCACCCGAGCGGCTGGCGGGAGCGTCGGAGCCCTTGTCCGCCTCATTCCCCGCCTGTTGCTGGCCGGCCCGACCTGGCCTAGTCCACTGCGCTCTGCGCGGTGGCTCCATGTTGTACCGAGCAGCCGCGCTCAGCCCCATTCCTCTGTCCCGTACAGATTCCCGCGCCGACCCGGGCAGCCCAAAGCTTCCGGGGGAAACCCCGCACGCCCGCAGCGAGACCTGCCCGGGATTTGCTGCCGCCTCGTCCCCCGGCAGCCTCCGCCAGCCCCCGTCCCACTCCCCGCGCCGCCCTGCCCGGACACCGCCGGGAGCCCGTGCCGCACTCGGCACAGCCCGCGGTGCGGGTCGGGGCTGGAACGGCCCCGGGGGGAGCGGGCCGGGGCCGCATCCCGCCCTCAGCCGGCCCTCAGGCGCCGCCGCCATCTTGGCAGGGCGCGGGTGCCGCCGCGGCGCAGGAAATGGAGGACGCGGGGCTGTGAGGGCTCCGGGGCTCCCTCAGCGCTGAGGGCTCCGCTCAACTCCGGGGCTTCCACGGCGACAGCCGACACACTGCACGGGGAAAAAAGTTTTTCGAGTTGCTGAACAGAATTTGCTCTCAGCCTTCGTGAGTTAAGGCGAAGCACAGAAGTAATGTTACCGCTTAGTTCAGAGTTCTGAAGATGTTTTACATAAATCTTCCCCCTTTTGCCTGGGAACTTTGTAAATGGATTAGTGGTCAGTTATTGCCCCAAACTGCACTCCTGCGTGGATTGTGCAGCAAGTACAACACACCGGCGTTACCCACAATTAGTTGTCATCCTTTTGTTTAAATGTCTTTCCCTTCCTGCTCATCAGGTACAAGAAACCCCCACCGAGCCCCCGGGCTCAGGAATGAAACGTGTGAGGCAGATCGTGGAGACGCTTTGGATTGACCTTTCCTCAAGCTGTAAATCAAATATTATAGCACTGTTAAGTTTCTTTAATTAGACGATGAGTAACAACGTGTGTCTTTTCCTCCCTGTTAAGTGCAGCTCATTTAAGATGGACTTGGGTTTATTTGCGTTTTGAGTGCTGTGTTTGCGTGTCTGTGTGGTGTGGTTTATAACGCGCTGTATTTTCCACAGAACTAAACCCATCCCGAGCTCTGAAGGGGGAATGAAGCTCTCAGTAAAACATCAGCGTTGCCAATGGGCTTTGAACTCGTAATAACATTTTCCCCAGTAACAGCATTTCTTCCCATTAATTACTTTTTAAATCTCTGTGTCAGTAGTCCTAGTCCAGCATAATTTTCATGGCCTTTGGTTGCCTTGGATACATTACAATCCTGTTCACAAGTAGTCTCACTTTTAGTTTCAATTACTGCTGTTTTCAGGTGATAAAGGGAAGAAAAATAGTGTGTGGAGCTAAGGAAGTGCTCAAAATTTATAAATCATCATCTTTTATACTGCATGGAAAAAACCCCAACAGATCAATGTGACTCACAAAGACTGCAGAAACAAAATCATTTTTTTTTCATCAAATCTTTACTTTTTCTGAATTAATAAAACCTGGCTTCTCTCTGAGTCTTTGTAATAGGAATTTCAGACTGACAAACCTCTTGTAATAAAACTGTTCTAATAACTTCTTCTGTTTTGCTGGTTGTGCTTCTGGAACTGTCCATGAGCCCAGGAAACTCCAAGCTTAATCTTGGTGGCACCTGTAGACTTACTGTCATGAAAAGTTTTTGTGACTGATACAGCTGATAAATTGCCCTGGGCAAATCAAAACTCTTTATCTAAAAGAACTTCAAATCATCCTCTGGACACTCCCTTAGTTGAAGTGGAACCAGGATGCAGCAGTGAGTGAAAATGCTTTACTCAAGAAGTGTTACTGCTGGTGACACATAAATTAATCATCCTCTCTAAGTGTACTGCCTCATATTCAACTCCACTGTTCTTATAATACAGGATATTTTTAGCTATTTCATTATAATGGAGGAAATTCTCCCCCAGAAGGTAGTAAAAGAGTCTTTCAACAGCATTTAGATTGTGTACTTGCCTCAAGAATTAGTTTGGCTTGTTGTATCTTCATAAAACTTGTAATTCTTGTTTTGCAGGTTTCTCTTTGATATTTAGGCAAAGGATAGTCTTGCAGTTACAGAACAAAAGTGAGGAGCATGACATCTGTTCCTGGCTCAGTACTTCCTAGAGAAAACAAAGGAGACAGAAAGCAAGGTGGAAATACAAAGTCTTTGCACCTCTTGCACACAAGGAAAGTGCAATTTTATGTCAGGTCCACTGTCTGCCCAAAAATACCAGGAGCAATTAGAGAATAGCTGTGCTCAGAGGAGTTCCAGTGCCTTCCCAGCTGAAGGTAATCTGTTGTTTCAGAAATATATCTTTCCTTACACAGCCCCTAGAAGTGTTGGGCAAAGAGCCAAATCGTTTTAAGACCAAATAAAACAACAAATGACATTCTGCAGCCCAAGTTGTTGCATTGTTTTCCTCGGAGTGGTTGGAGCTGTGGGTAGAGAACTGGCTGAATGTCATTCTTTTTCTCGTGAGTGTCTACGCTAAATTAGCTATATACAGTCTTCTAGGGCAAAATGGGTCTGGTTGAAGAGAAGCAATCATACTGACTGATTCCTGATGCTTAGTCCATTTTGATTTGTTATAATAGGTGATGAGATTTCCAATAATTACTTACCTAGTGTATATAATAATAGGAGAGTGATGAGTTAGCTCATGACTGTTGCACAGATATCCACATTTACAATCAGGCAAAAAGAACTTCCTTTGCTAACTAAGGACTGCAGCTACACAGTCATCCCTCTTTCTCTAAAGAGATTGAAATCAGCTATTCAGGAAGTCCTGTGGAATAAATAGCCTCACCTTCCATGGTACAAGGGCGGCCCTTCAGCACTCAGTGCCTGGAGCAGCATTGGTGTCCCATGAGAACAGGAAGGTAAAAGTGCAGATGAAGTCACCATGAGGCCATACCCTATAACCAGTGTGGCACAGGCTGAGGTGCTGAGAAAGTGTCCCAATGAAATATCCTTAAAGCATGTTCTGTGACATGGCAAGAACATGCAAACCTCCGTGTGCTGCTCTGTTATTTTTCAAACAACCTATGGGATAATCTGCTGGGTGCCAGCTGTTTGGGATAACTTTTTTACACTATGTTCACTTTCCAGGTGTCATTTCCTTTGGTCACAGGGGCAGTTCAGCACTCAGCCCAATGCTGTGGCTGTTCAGCCGGCTACAGTGTTAAAAATCACGGCAGCATTTGATGGTGTGCCTGGCACTGCAAAGGCCTCTGCTGCAGGATGGCTCTGACACCACACACACCCCAAATATTTTAGGATAGCCTCCAAAACCTGGAGTGCCAGGGGCGCTGTGCCATGAGAACAGCAGAGATGTTTATGTGCATGTTTGTGTTACGTTTATGTGTTGATGGAGTTCTGGTGTCCCTCTAAAATGGGAGATTCGACTAAAGGGGCAGATTTGGTCATTCTGCTGCTTCTGTTTCTGAGCAGTGCCCAGGGTTATCCAGGCCAATGTGGAGCCCCGGTCAGGAGTGGCTGGATTGTCCCCAGAGTGCTGGGCTCGCTGGGGCTGTTATCAGCTGTCTGGCCTCAGGCATCTGCCGCAGTCAATCTGCAGCCCGGGCTCCTCCCTTGCTTCAAATGCTTTTCACACTGCTCCCAGCCACTTACACGAGTGATTCCAAAATTTGAGTTTCACTAATGAGGAATCAGTGACCGAAAATCTCTATGCAGTGTTTATTGCAAATGCAATAAAAAATATCAATTATTAATTTAACATGATTGGACTCAATGAGCCCAGGCATTCCATGATGCTGATGACACCAGTTGAATGCTTGTGCCATTCTGTCTACTTTGGCAGGGCGTCTCCTGAGCTGTGACTGCAGAGGAGGATCAGATTCCACAACTAAACCTTGTCTAT